CTTTGACTTCTACTTTTCTTGTCTTAAAGTCAATGTCATCAAACCGAATCACTTGGGTCAATTGCTCACGATCGGCTAAACCAGGTGTGGAATCAAACAGAATACCATAGTATTTGTTTCTACGAATTGCTGACAAACAATAATTTCACACATGTGAAGCCATGAGATTTATAAACTCATTTTGGATTTCAGGAGAAAGATAAGATGTTTGCTTGTTTTTAACACGCTCTAAATGCTCTCTCATTACTGGATCATACTTTGCTAATAACTGCAAAAGTGACAGGAAATTTACAGGGTTTTCGTTTGAGGTTATGTCATCAGTATGACCACGAAATGCAAGATTATGAGAAGCTAAATATTGTGTACAATCCAGCAACTGTCGCAGTACATCTCTCCATTTATTTTTTTCTTCCTGAATTTGCCTTTGCAGCTCTTCATCAATGCCACTTTGAATTGCACTTTCTTTTTTCGAAATAATGGGCTAAAAGAATAAATTAATAAATACTGACTACACAATTTAGTTGCAACATGCAAATTGTCAGATGAAAGGAAGCATTATACTTTCTTAAGTTCCTAACCACAAATTATATTTAAATTATGCAATTATAGTTGCAACTCAGGACTAGTTAGGCACATCTGGACCTGGTTTCACTTTAACTGCCATTATTTAGACCACCCATACTCGTGTTAATTAATGTGACACAACGTTAAGAAAATCAATGCAGATGTGTGTATATGCTGGTAAATCATGCTTATGAGCACCATATAAATCACTGGCAGTTGCTAAATCACATTTAAAAACTCGATAGGTTTAACTACACGAACACTACAGGAGACAAGTCTGAAATTGCTCGAATGAAAATTACACACACTGTGGAGAAGGGTGTAATCATAACATAATATAAGCCTAGAGGCTCAAAGGCTATATTTAATATCAAAGGTTTTGATAGAATGAGAACTTAAATATAGGCTAACTAATTAGTGGTACTAGATTACAGTTCTTATATTAAGTTGCTAGTACATCTAGATCTAACATTAATGTTAAACCTGTTATTTCCATCTGTTTAGTCTTAGGCTTGGATCTAGATTAAATAATAATGACAGAAATTTAGCTTTATACAACTAAACTAGACCTTAGATTTGGGTGCATAGATTGAAAGCACCTTGTATTGAATCTACCGAGATCTAGATATAACCCTACCTCATCAATTCTAGATTTAGACTTATTAGGCTTAACTTTTAGAACAAATGTTACATCTAGATCTATTAACTTAGTCATTAGATCTGTCCCAGTGCAATGCCTAGTTAGTATAGGTCTAAGTATGCTTATAATATAGGCTACAATTTGTATGATGATAGACCTAGGGTCTAGAAATAAAGTTATAACTGCAATTAGACCTAAAGTCTAGTACATTAGTTGGTATAAGATATGATTTACAATCAGCCAATACAATTACAAACGACTGCATCAAGCCTATAATGTTTACTAGATCTAGATCTTGCCTGTTGCATATATTGCCAATCTAGCACATCAGTTAATATGTTACATCAATCTCGTATTTTCTTTTTGTTGAACATACACTTACTTGTATGTTGTACTCTAGGACTTGTATTTGATCTACAGATGAGTGATGGAACAGTGTAATTTACTTCTGTACGTCAATTCGGTCTCACTGTATTTCAGTGGGCGGCTTTTAAAAGTTAAAACTGCAAGCGTAATACACACAAATAACGTAACACTGTGTCGTATTTACTTAATGTAGGGCAGTTGTGCTATATCTTAGGGGAGGGCCTTAATTATTTATTAATAGGCATTATAGGCCAGAGGAAATTTTGCGCCCCTTCACACCTGCGCCTGGGGGCTACTGCCCCCTCTTGCTACGCCACTGAGTCCATCGGAGTACCATCGTTCATTCTGAAGTATTGATAGTTCCAAATAAAATAGCTAGATTCTAAGCATAATTCTAGACGTTTTTTCGTTGTTGCTAAGCAACTTGTGATTCGAATTGTTCCGTTAAATGCAGTTGTTTATTAACCTGTGGAAGGCTTCGGTGATTCAGCCGAAAGCTTGTGCATTAAAAAACTAAGAAAAGCGTAGTCCAAATATAATACTGTTGGTTAAATTTATTGTTGTTCTCGCGATTAGAACATTATTTAAATCTTGTATTCTCTAATGTGTTAAATTATCGTAACTTTCTCTTGCCTGATGATGAGGTCGAAACGTTGCATGGCTATATTTATATATACGTTTGTATTTCTCTGTAATAAACATTTCAATAGTTAGAAACAAATAAGTACGATATTTTTGTGATTATTACAGTTCTAGTTGGGAGATTAATTTGTTATATACGACTCAGATTTAAGTCGAACTTTAATATTTTAAATTTCATTTTAACACCAGATTATATTATTTTTCAAAAATTTTAACCGTCCGCTGTTAAATTATGTTCTGAACAAATTACCAATTTTAGTACGAAACTAACCATTAATATCTGCTGAATAGTAGGTCAATTGATCGATGTGGTGCAGCTTAGCAGACTTAGCTTTGCGAAGGAGATGAGGGTGTAACTTTACTGCATCAAGAATTTGTAGTATCATAGGTGAGTTATTGTAATATTTTATTTAATAGTTTTGGTAATATTTGTTAATTTCATTATTTTATCAGAAGGATGTTCAATATTTTTAAATATTAAGGTATACGGTAAAAAGGAATAACGTTAAAAATGTTAAGAAGTAAATGTATGTATTGTAAAAATGTCGTCCTTACCTTGGCTTAGGCCTAATACTAGTAATAATAATACTTACTAATAATACTGATAATTGTAATACTAATCATATAAATTATAATATTAACCCTAACATTATAATTTAATACAACTTTAAGAGCACGGCAACGAATAATACGAAAGTAGCATAAAAATCACACAGTTTCTATCCGAGTTATACTTAGTTTCTCTTACCCCACCTGTTAGTGTGTTACTATTTCTCATTTAATCACAAGTTAGTGTTACCTCTACCACAGTACCAGTCGCTTAATTTGGAGGATGTCACACTTATAAGTTGCAGTGTATAAGCTAATACATAACTGTTCAGTTTGTTTAAACCACATGTTAAACAATGGTTATACTTTTAGAAATACTGTGAGCATGCAACTTTCCACTATTTAGCCAACAATATGCTGCTTAGAACAGGGGGTATTAACTATATGCTGAACTACTTATGCATTTTACTATTAAGTATAGATCATTTAATTGACTAAATAGTAATTTACCCATGGATGGCTAGAATCTTCATTGTATATACTTATCTTAGAGAGGAAATTTCACTTTTAAGTGGAAGGGTTGCAGTAGATAAGCAGGGATTTCAATAAGATAATATTAAGAGAGGTAATGGGGCAAGAACTTTAGAGAATAATACATTTAGGTCTAGGGAGCATGTTTCATTAAGTAACCTTAATAGGTTTCAGTCATTAGCAACTGAAGAGTGGGAGTTGGAGCAGAGAAGGGAAACAGTTATGGAAGAAAAGGATGATAGTGCCAAGTTGAAGGAGGTCATAGTTGTATCAATTTATTTGTTAGTAAGGCATGTAGATTGAATTGTCTTTGGAATAAATAGGGATAAAATGACAAAATTATGCTATCCAGGTAGAGGGATGAAGGAAATAACAGAGAGCAATTAATATAGTAAGAGATGCTAACAGTGATGTAATATCTGTTGTGCACAAAGACTTAATGATGTAGGGAAGAGTAGGCTAGAGGAGCTAAATGGCAAGTAAGAAGGATAATAAAAGCATTTACAGAAAAGGGCTATAATTTAATTTGTCATGGACACTGCCATGAGTCAGTGGTAGGAATGATAATTGAAATGATTGGCTGGTTGGACATTTAGAATAATATTGATGGGAAAAGAAGGTTTTGTGGATCAGATGGTGTACACTTAAATAGAGCAGGAGATGGTTTGTTTGCATGAACTATTAATTGTAAAGGCAGCTTTAAACTAGAACTAGACAATTTGATGGAGAAAAAGTAAGATACAGAAAAAGTGTCGTGTTGGAACAAAATACATCGGTAATTTTAAGTGAATTCAACAATATATGTGATTACTAAGCTTTTGTAACATATCTTATATTGGTAAGATTTTATTAAAGATTACAAGTATTTTACAAAAAGAATGAAATTATTTTAATTTAGTATTTCAATAAAAAATTATTTGTTTATTGTAGTTATTTGGATTCTGAAGTATATAAAATACTTTTTCACCTTAGTTTTCAAATTTCTAGAACTTCCTAAATGAATATAATTTTTTAAAGGTAAATGTTTATATTTTATTTTTAATTTTGTCTACCAATATCATCAACTGTTAGTTCAATGAAATGTTTCAAATTAAGGTTTTCCTTCAGATCTAACTACTTCTGATTTACACCAATAAATGGCAGCAGTGCATGAATATGTTATGCTGCCATTGTAGAGGAGCCTATGAAGAGTACTATCCCTTTTGCATTGATAAGCTCTCACGTGATACGTATGTAACTAATTCTTCCAATTAGAACTATATCAGTACAAATTTTTCTCATCAGTTGGTCAAGCTAATATTTAGGAATGCATACAAGCCAATCATAGCATGTAGAGAAACATAAAACTATTAAAAGTAAAAGTTGATTGTTGCTAATAAACAGCACAGACAGATAGATTGTTAATCCCCAAATTTATTAGTGATCTTCAGAGAATTGTTCAGTAATGTTTAGTATTCTTGAGTTCTTAACAATATGATCTGTATTACATGAAGTGTAAATTCTGTGAACTTGTACAAGTTTGGGTTGTTGTTTGTATTGTTTTTTATTATAGATATACCTCACATGCAAATTAAATATTATACAGTAAAGCTTAATTTATGGTTTTGGAACTAAATTCTTATTCCAAGTTTTCTTATTTGAGTAGACTAAAACTAAATATAATAAAAATAAAAACTAATTATTTTCTGATGTTTAGTTCAGTGATATGTGAAAACCTACACAACTTCATTAACACAGAAAATGCTGTCCAGACACTTTGTGGTGACTATAATAATGAGAGATATTTTTTTCTACACACATCTCAGTCAGATCTGCCCTTCTCCTCTTCAACTTTGTTCAATGGGTTTTCAGTTCAATTACAGCTTGAAGTTCTATTGCTTTTTGGGGATGTGATCTTCTATGGCAGCCCTTTATCCCCTTAGGTCAGGCTCATATGTGGGCTCTTTCATGGGCTTTTCATGATCAATGGAATTTGGTAGGGATCCTTTGTTGGCTCTTATTACCCTTCCTCCTACCATTGTCATTGATCAGCGTTGGTGGTTAGATATGATTTGCATGTTGGCGGGTGTCCTGCTTCCTCCACTTATTTAGTTTTCCACATTTAATGGATACATACTTTCTTGGATGGGGGTTATGGGTTGATCAACTGGAAGAATTGGGGTTTTTTGGTCTATGGCTAAGAGGTCTTATCCTATCAATGTCCTGGAGCTTCTTGCTGTAGGTCGTGTTTTAGTTCATTTTGTCCATCTGGCCAGAATTATCTGGTAATGATACATTCTGATTTTTCTTCACTGATTGTTTATCTCAATCACCAGGGTGGCACCCATTCTCCACCCCTCTCTATTCATATGTTGAATTTTTTTTTTGGGCCCACAGGTTCGATATTCCTATCATTGTGTGTCATGTTCTGGGTTCTTTTGTCATGGATCAGATTCCTGGTTCAGAAGTGGTGCGGTTCCCCATATCAGATCTTAAAAGTAAGTATTTCATCTTAGGGAGTGTCCTTTGGATGCTTCTTTCTTTCCCTCGCACCAGTCCCTACACTTATTCAATTTGGGGTTCTAGCTATTTATGTGAGTGGAGGTATTGTGTTGTATTAAAGTAATAATTTTCCTACTCTGAAAATGTATTTCTGATTGGTAACCACTGCTTTCATCTTCCGACAAAACATGAAGTGGTTGTTTGGTAGAATTGAATAGGAGGAGTTGCATGTGTCACGAGAGTATGTCGCACTCTTATTGGTGGAGGGTTGACACATGATGATTTGCATGAGAGATGCATTGGAATCAGTCAATTCCAATAGAGGGGAAATAGAAGGCTTGTGTGAAAAATAAATAAATTTGCATATAGAGGCAGCACTGAATGAGAATAGCTATTTATGTGAGCGGAGGTAAGTATCTATCAGATATAGATTTTCAGTGTAGGAAAATTATAACTTCTGTCCAAAATAATGTGTGTGAATTTTGACAGTATGAATAAAGAATGTGTACGTAGTAATAGGTAAGTACAAAATGGCAATATCCTACTTCAGGATTAGGCAATTCTATACCTTTTTAGTAAGATTCCAAAGGACCCCCATGCTGTCAACTTGGGTGCTGTTACCAGAAAGGTAAGTGCATATTGCAGGAACTGAAATAAATGAATGAAATTTGAAAGAGAAATGTCCTCCATTATTTGTGTTGTCTTTTTTTATTTTATGACCATATGTCTACATTACTACTAACCCATAGAAGTATGTAATCTGAAAGTTTCATTCGACTACTCACATTTGTTCCTTCATTTATTTGAAGAATATATGTATGTATATTATGTTTTCAAAGAATTTTATTATTGGTTCTTCAAAGATAAATGAAATCTTCTCACTTAAATCCGAGCTTGACAGAATTAAAGAACTGGTACAAACTATTACATGTTTGACAGGACCATATAAATTTTTAAGAATGTTGCATTTAAAAGATTATATTATATATTTACAAGTTGAAAAAGATACATCAGTGGGTAGCAAGAATACTATATACCAGCACAATTTCTTTGTCAGAGTAAATATCATCAAAATTAAGGAAAGAATCATGAGCATTTTATTTTATTGCTTTAACGACACCATCATTTATGTATAGTTTCATAAATCTTAAGTTCAATGCAGGAATGTCTTGCAACAATATGAAAAAGGTAACACTTTGCACACTTCTTTGAAACACCAAACTTCTAAATTGGCAACCATTCATATTCCTTTCCATAATAACCTATTGTCTTTGTGTGCAATCACAATAGTCTTGGTATATGTTATTCAGTTACATAAACACACTTTGCGCACTTCTTTGAAACACCAAACTTCTATAATAATGGCTGGAGAC